GGATGCGAGGTCAATGGTCTAACGACTACGGCATGCACGAGTATGAGTACCCCCCCCCCTCTCTGTCAGATTCAAGCGTGGGAGGCCCACACCGACTACATCCGTTACCTGGAGGTCCACCCGACGCTGCCGTACGTGCTCTCCGCCTCGGACGACATGAGCGTCAAGCTCTGGGACTGGGAGAGGCAGTGGGACTGCACACAGGTACTGTAACGTTCACTTCCCTTCGAAGGGTGCAACACAGCTTCTCTGACGTCTTGTGGTTGATCGGCCGGCAGTGTAGCACGGTCCATGCTTCTCTAGTTATAGGCAGTGGGACTGCACACGCAGGTGTTGCAACGTAGGTGACGGAAGATAACACACCCCCAAGATGGATTTCGATAGCTCCATCACTCTATTATGAAAATGAGATATGTACGACTCAAATCGGACGTTTTCAGAAAGCTCTCTCGAGAAGACTATTCTGACGCTGCTGTTTTCGGAAACCACCGCCACTCTTTGTGGCGTGGAAAAGTTGAGCTTTTGAAATCAGGCCAGGGGGGGTGGTATCTTATGTGGTATCTTGTGTCACCAACGGTAACGTTCGCCGGTCGTCCCCTTCACTAACGTCTTCTCGTTGTGTAGCGCGGTCCATCTTACTCTACTGTAGTGATAGGGACACAAATCTACTCCCACAAACGTTTTTTCCGATGTTTTTTTTTTTTTTGTGGTTCCGTTCGGTGAGCACAGCAACGTTGTAGCCTGCCTGCTACAGTGCTGCACTGATCTCCAATGTACCCACAAGCCCCGGTGGCACGTGTATCCAGTGTGTTTGTGCTCCGGGTGTTTTTATTGTAGTGTCGTTTGTTGCGGTTCGTACGAACAACAACAACAACAACTGACGCAGTCCATGCTATTTAGTTAGAGGAACACACAAATGGGTGTTGTTTGCTGACGGTTTTTGTGGTTCCGTTTGGTGGGAACAGCAGTTATTCAACACGCGGTGCAGGTGTTCGAGGGCCACTCTAGCGTGGTCGATGCTGTTCTAGTCACTGGAAGACATACCTACCGCAGGAGGGGGTCCAGCCCCCCCCCTCCTATGTGACCCCGGTTGGGTCGTCTAGCTAGTAGAAGTGGAGGATAAGGACCAGAGGGGCAGACGACAGTGTCCAGTGATGGGAGAAAAAAAAAAAAAAACACCCACGCACGTTGTTTCTAATGGTTTTGTCGTTTCGTTTGATGGGAGCAACAACACAAAAAACAGCCACCCGCGCGTGTTGTTTTCTGATGCTTGTGTTGTTCCGTTTGGGAGGAAAAAAGTGTAAAAATGCGTTCAAGCACAGCGTCCCACACGTGTTTTTTTCTGATGCTGATGTGGTTCCGTTTGGTGGGAACAACGTTTGATGCACGTGGTGTGCAGGTGTTCGAGGGCCACGCCCACTACGTGATGATGGTGAAGTTCAACCTCAAGGACTCCAACACCTTCGCTAGCGCTTCCCTCGACAGGTGAGCTTCACCTCTCTTCGGCGTCCAACGCGTCCTTGTCGTCTTGTTTCATCTCTGTTTATATTTTGTACCCCTCCTGTGTGCCCCTGGATGATTGTAGGCGTACGAATAAAATACACTGAAAAGTGTAGCACACGTCTCACCACGAAAAATGGGGGGACTGCTGTCTCCATTATAGATAGGACGAAAACACACACGCGCTTAGTGCCAGTGTTCAGCTAAGGAAACACATGCGCGAAAAAAAGAGTATACCCTTGTCTTTTTTAACATTGAATTTGAATGTACAGTAGTGCCAGTATTAATCAACATACACATCCCCAAACACGCGCTAAAGAGACTAGACACCGCTGTCACCCACCCACCCCCATCCGTTTAGTTTGTGTGCCCCCCCCCCCCCCCCC